GGGGCGCCGTTTGAAGTCCCCGAAAGGTGGGGCCGCAGGAATCCAAGGGAGCAGATGGGAGGAGAGAGAGCCGGGTGAGAAACGCCGCGCGGCCTGCGCCTCCCTCCCCGGCGCCCTAGGGCCCGGGGTTCGCGGACCGCACGGCCTCCCGGGCCCTGCCCGGCCCTGCCCTCGCTGCCCCTCGCCGCGCGTCCCCCAGCGGCGGCCCTCCGGCCTAGCTCGGGCCCTCTTCCCAGCCTGGGAAACCCGGAGCTGAGCGGCTCAGTCCCTGTGGAGAATCTGCCTTGCACCCCCACCCCACCCCCGGGCTGGGTGCTGCCCGGGTGATTAGCACTGAGCGCGGGCGCAGGGCATCTGGGGCCATCCAGCACCCCTAGCGAGTCACGCACTCGCCACTCCAACCTGTAGGGCTATTCGGAGAAGCAAGCAGGACCCCTGCCTGCGCCCTCGGACGCCCAGGCCCAGGCTCTGCAGCCCAAGTCCAGGGTGGGGCGACAGGCCAGCGCGCCCCCGCCCGAAGTCCCCAGCCTCCGGGGCGGTGCAGGAACGCCTCACCCCGGCCCCCACGTCGCACGAGGGCACGGGTCTCGGGCCACCAGGCCGTGGTTCCGCCTGCTCCTCCGCACGGGGGTGGGGGGCGCAGGTGTTAAGGGTCACCTTTCCCGCCCTTCAGGCCTGCGGGGAACATTTTCCAACTCCTCCAAGAAAATGCAAAAAAAAAAAAAAATCCAGAAAACAAACAAACAAAAAACCCCCAAAAGTCTCCTCCCCTTCAGGTTTCTGGCTTTCTGTTTTGTTGCTGCTACTTTGAGGGCGGGGGACAAAAAGCGCAACTTTCTACATAAGAATGTCCGGCACACACAGCCTCGAAAAGTGTTTCTTCTTCAGGGCGCTTTAGAAAGCCCCCCCCCCCCCCGTCCTGCTTTCTGCATGGTCAAGGAGCAGAATAATGAAACCAAAGACTTTCATTTTATAAACCACTTGATCTTTGCTTGGGAAACTCTATTAATTGAATGGGCTTGCCTTTTTTGCCAGTCCCCTTTATCATTATTTATGGGCTTTAAATTGTTTAAAGTTCCCTTGACGTTCAATTTACAAGTTTGGGGACTTTTTTTGTTCTGCCTTTTGTCCTGGAGAAAGACATCGTGTTGGAAGTGCTTTGAAAAGCCAAACAGGAGAGGTTGGCAATGAAAGGGAAGCGGGCGAGATCCCTTTTAATTCTGTCCTGTTAGTGAATGGCTCTTTTACATAATTGCAGGAGCTATTTCAAAGCCAGCCAAGGGCTGACTTCACTTAGAACCACATGGAGTCTATTTTGGGCTTTCAGATTTAAAAAAAAAAAAAAAAAAAAAAGCTGAATAAAATAGTTAAAAAAGATGAGGCTTCAATGCTTTCTGCTACTTGCAAATTGGTGTGTCTGATGGGGAATTTTTTACACAAGCACCCCTTTGTAAGTGCGTCTTGGGCTTGGGAGGGACTGTTGTGAGTTTGCTGGGTGTGAATCCCAATTGCTCTTCCATAAATAAAAGCCATCCCAAGCTATTTCCCAACTATTGCCAGGAGCAAGAGCTGCTGCAATGACCGAATGATCAGGCCACTCAGAGTCTCTATAAATAAAAACAACACGGTTGCCAGAGAAACCAGCCAGTCTCCTGGGACTTGGGTGGCGGAGGGCCGCTCCCTGCCCACTGGGTCTGCGGGTTTCTCCGCACCCACGGAGAGCCTGGGGCGCCCACGTTGCCCCCTCTCCACCACCGCCCGCGACCTCGACCCTGGCGGCTGCCTGGAAACATGCGGTTCGCCGGGCTTCCTCCTCCGGGCTGGACTCGCCAGGCCAATGCAAGTTTGCTACATGAATATTCATTTCCTTGTACACTTAGCATCTTGTACTCAGCCGCCATACACCTGCGTGCAAACGTTGCCTGGGACAGCCCCGAAGCGTGGAGACAACTTAATTACCATCACTTTTACTGACGTCTGAGGTTTTAAGTGGCTTAGTACGATCTTGACACCAGCTTGGCACTGGCCGAGGAAAAGTGCCCGAGGCGTGGGCTAACTTCTTCGCCGGAGCTTTCCTGGGGGAAAAAAGTTCGCAGAAGTTAACTGGAGTTGAGGACCCACGTCGCCCTTGGGTTCTGTCCTTCCTTTCTTTCCCATCCCAGGGAGCCGGGGGTGGGGGTCCCCGAAGGGCAAAGTTGCAAAGGTCTGTGGCGGCTGGTTTTCCTGCTCAGCCTGGGCCGACCCGAGTCACCCCAAGGGCTCTGTGCTGTGAGGCAGCTCCGAGGTAAGCAGGTAGGAATCCAGAGGAGGCATAAACCAAGTACCTGCCGCTCGCTACCCATAAATCTCTCCGAGGAGACGAGGGAAAACTCGAAAGTCTTTTATTATCCGCAGTCCTCCACGCTCTGAACTCCGAACGCTTTGCAGGTAGCTGAGGTGCCCCGAATGAATCTTGTGAATCACGGCGGAACACAAGCATCCTTTTATGACGCACACAGTCGTTTTCTAAGTAGTTAAGCATTAGATGAGAAAATATTACTGCACTGCATTCGAGAAAATGCACACTAGTAAATAAAATTCATATTGATGAGAATTCTCTGAACTCACTAATAAAAGAAGATTAGTATTATAACCCCCGCAGTCAATACTTTCCACAGCAATTTATGGATGCAAATAATATGCCATGAAATTATTTCAAGTGTAGCTATAATTCAACGGACCTAAATCTTCTCGCTGAACTTTAAATGTAGAATCATCACCAAAATCATCAAAGGAATCCCTCTCTCGGAGGGTAATCAGGCGGCGGAAGTCCCTAGAACAATATTTTTCCGGAGAAATAGCAAAGTGGATGGCAAAGTGCTTAGGTAAGATGAGTAGCAGTTTACACCCGCACGCCAGTGCCAAGCGACGAAGAGACTCGGCTGTAGCAACGTAAATCAGGCAAGGGGGTCGAACATTTTTTTCTTAGGATTCAAAAACCAAGGTAAGCATACCAGAGACTGTTGCCTGTAACTATCTCATAATGAGAGGGAGTATTTATTATGCTCATAAAGAAACCAGCCTTTTGCCCTGGGCTTCGATTTTTTTTTTCCTTTTCCTTTTCTTCTTTTTCATCTTTTGTAGGAGTGGAGAGAGAGGGATAGAGCTTAGAGACCCCACGGCCACCTCCTTCCCTGTGGATTCCAACGATCCCCCTTCACACCGCCTGAGCCACCTCGGGGTCTGGGCAGGAAGGGAGTGTAGGCCATGCAGCCAGCAGCGTCCTAATGAATTCCTTTCCAACCGCCTGCCGCCGGAGCCATCTATGACTGCGGCCTGAAGTGGGGAAACGCGCTCCCGCTCCAGACGTCTTTGTCCGGGTGGGGGTGGGGGGTCGGGGGGGGGGGACGGAGGGCGGCCGGCGGCGGGGCCCGCGGGTGTTCCCAGCGCTCGGGGGCGCCGCCGGGGACGCACCCTCCTCCCACTCCTCCAGGGCCCTCTGGGTGCCCGGGGGGTTCCTGGCCAAGCTTACCGCGGAAGCGGTGGCCTGGGATTAAGACGTCCCCCTGGGGGCCTTGGGGTCAGAGCGGGAGAAAGAAGAAGAGCCAGAAAGCAGAGCTTCAAAGAATAGGGTCGATAAATTCATAAAGATCGATTTATCTTTATCTCCCAATTAAACGTGCTTGTAAGTGATACATAACACACGTCCAACACGGGCCAGCTCCCCAGCCGCTCGCGCCTCGGCGTGAACGGATGTTTAACGACCGATGTGACAATGCCCTTCTCTCCTCTCCGCGCAAGCCACCCGGGCAGGTGGAGCCGAGCCCTGCAGGCGCGTGGAGAGCCCCGCGCGCACCGTCTGCCCGGCCGCGAACGGCTCCCCTTCTGAAAAGAATCCGAGACCTGGAAGTTGTTCTTTTTGTCACGGAGAAGGGGATCGGAACACCCCCGGCCGCCACTCCCTCCCCGCCGGTTCCCTGGCTCCCAGATTCTGGGGTTTTACCATCGCCGACACAGTGGAAACGTCTTGAGGGGATCGGCTCGGTCCGCAGGCGAAGCGGGCGGCGCGCCCCCGAGTCCTCGCGCAGGAAACCGGGTGGCGGCGCCGGGGTGGGCGCTCCCTCCGTTCTCAACGCGCTTAATTAGCGCCTATTTACAAAACGCAGCTTTTATTTGAGCAAACATCATAAAGCTTTCATCAGGATAATCTCACGTTGCACAGTCTGGAGGCGCAGCAACTCCCCCTTCCTCCCCGAGGAAGGAGCGGAGAAAGGACTCGCTTTATTATCATAATTATCGTGGCTGTTATTTTGGCGCGCGCAGGCAAAGTGTGTAAATAGGTGCGATGATTAAGAACGTCATGAAAAATGAGAAGGGACGGCTCACAGGAGGGCCCCGCTCGGGACGGGGGCGCGCAGCCGCCTGGCCTCGCCCGGGAGCGCGGGGGGCGCACCGAGAGCCCCGGCCGGCCGCTGCAGACCCCGGCCCGCGCCCCGGGGCGGGCGGGAAGGGCAGGACTCGCTCCCGACTCCGGGAACCGCCTCTGGACCGCGGGCGCAGCGGCGGCACTCAACGCCAGGCTGCGCCGCGGGTAGGACGGAGAAAGGAAACGCGCTTGGCCCGGCCGCGGTCGGCCCTGACCCCCGGAAGCGGCCCTTGGACGCGGCCTCGACGAGGCTGTCGGGCCGCGGGGCTCGAGCCTCGGAGCGTCGGAGGCAACAGTCCCTTTCAAGTTTGCGCGGCGCGGGCCCGGCGCGCAGGCTCCGGCTCGCGGGCCCGCGCGCTCCGCCGGCGGCGCCCAGAGCCCGCTCGCGGCCCGCCGGGGTGGAAGGGGCGGGGCCCCGCCGCCGCCGCCCCGCCCCCGCCCGGCTCAGCCAATAGGCGGCGGCGCCCGGCCCCACGTGACGTAAGCCCGGCCGGGCAGCAGGCAAAATGTGAATGAGAAAGAGGAGCGCGATTTAAAGGTGCTGGCGGCGCCCGCCGGAGACTAGTGCGCCGGCTTCGCGCGCTCCCCGGCGGCCCGCGGGAGGCGGCGGACTGCGGATCGGGCAGACGGACGCACCGACGGCCGCGAGCCGGGGCCGAGGGGCGCAGGCGACGCCGCGCGCGGGCTCCGACGGGCAAGAGGCGGGCAGCGGCTCCAGCGGGGCCCGGGTGCCCTCTCCACGCCGGGGCCCACGGCCTCCCCCCGCGCAGCGCCCGCTCCCGCTCCCGCCGGGCATGCAACCGGCTCAGGGCTGAGGGGCGGCGGCGCCTGCTCTCAGGGTCCGGCTCGGCGCCTGTGCGGCGCACCCGGCCGTGCTCCCGGCGCCCGGCGGGCTTCCTGGCGGCGGCGCGGCGCGGGGACTTCTCGCCTCTCGCTGTCCCCTTCCGAGCGCGTCTATGAGCGCAGCGTTCCCGCCGTCGCTGATGATGATGCAGCGCCCGCTGGGGAGCAGTACCGCCTTCAGCATAGACTCGCTGATCGGCAGCCCGCCGCAGCCCAGCCCCGGCCATTTCGTCTACACCGGCTACCCCATGTTTATGCCCTACCGGCCGGTGGTGCTGCCGCCGCCGCCGCCGCCGCCGCCCGCGCTGCCCCAGGCCGCGCTGCAGCCCGCGCTGCCGCCCGCGCACCCCCACCACCAGATCCCCAGCCTGCCCACCGGCTTCTGCTCCAGCCTGGCGCAGGGCATGGCGCTCACCTCCACGCTCATGGCTACGCTGCCCGGAGGCTTCTCCGCGTCCCCGCAGCACCAGGAGGCGGCGGCCGCCCGCAAGTTCGCGCCGCAGCCGCTGCCCGGCGGCGGCACCTTCGACAAGGCCGAGGCGCTGCAAGCCGACTCCGAGGACGGCAAAGCCTTCCTGGCCAAGGAGGGCTCGCTGCTCGCCTTCTCGGCGGCCGAGGCGGTGCAGGCGTCGCTCGGTGAGTCGGCGGCGCGCGCGGGGCGGGGGCGAGCCGGCTCCGGGTTCCCGCCGGGGCGGAGGGGGCGAGGCCAAGCCCGCGCGCGACCCCCGCGCCGGCTCCCCTCGCCCGAGCAGCGGGAGGACGCGGCCTCCGGGGGGCATTTAGAGCCGAGCCGCGCGCTAGGGGGTGGGGTTGGTTACCCCCTCGCACCCCCAGCCGGCTGCTGCGCGGGGCGGCTGGTCTGTCCCGCTGCGAGTTCGGAGGAGTCGGCCCCCCTCCCGCGCGCCGTGACCTGGGGTCCCGGATAGGCTTCAGCCTTTAGGGGTGGCGGGTTGGGCTGCGCGGCGCAGCAGTGCGTGTCCTCGGGGGCGCCCAGACCTATTAAACCCCTTCAGTGGGCTTGGTGCTTGCCCGGGAGAGCCGGGTCCCGGGAGGCTGTGCGTCTGCGTGTGTGTTGGGGTGCCTTGTGGGAACTTCTCCTAAGGCTACAAAAGTTCCCTTTCGCCAACATCTCCTAAAAAAAAAAAAAAAAAAAGACCCGGTCTGGCATCTCCATTTCCCTGTGCCCCCACTTTAGCTGCCATGAAATTGGGGTTCACTAAATTTTCACTGGGGGGGCAGATGGATCATGAGCCCTCCAGCCCTCACCCAGCCCCCACCCCGGGGACAAAGAGGATGCTCTCGGGCCACACGCCGCCTGTTACGTCTGCCTGAAGCTGCGGAGGCTGGGAGGGTGCGCACGCGGCCCGGGGGCCCCTTGAGTGATGGTTCTGGGTCCGGTCTCCTCTCCTCCTCTGAGCTTTCTCACGCCCCCCCCCCCCTTCTCTACCCCTCAAAGGCCAGGAAATCACAATGTGTTAATGTCACAGAAAGACAATCCGCTACGGGAGCGAAAGGCCCGAGCGGCGGTGGGAAGGGGACAGGGGGCCGGTGTGCGAAATGTAATAAAACGCCGTTTGGTTTTGCTTTCAGTCGGGGCTGTCAGAGGGCAAGGGAAAGACGAGTCAAAGGTGGAAGACGACCCGAAGGGCAAGGAGGAGAGCTTCTCGCTGGAGAGCGATCTGGACTACAGCTCGGATGACAATCTGCCCGGCCAGGCGGCCCACAAGGAGGAAGAGCCCGGCCACGCGCCGGAGGAGGCCCCGCCGGGCGGCGGCGCCGCGGGCAGCACCACGGCCACGGCCACGGGCAAGAACCGGCGGCGGCGGACTGCCTTCACCAGCGAGCAGCTGCTGGAGCTGGAAAAGGAGTTTCACTGCAAAAAGTACCTCTCGCTGACCGAGCGCTCGCAGATCGCCCACGCCCTCAAACTCAGCGAGGTGCAGGTGAAAATCTGGTTCCAGAACCGGCGAGCCAAGTGGAAACGGGTGAAGGCTGGCAATGCCAATTCCAAGACAGGGGAGCCCTCCAGGAACCCCAAGATCGTCGTCCCCATCCCCGTCCACGTCAGCAGGTTCGCCATCAGAAGTCAGCATCAGCAGCTGGAGCAGGCCCGGCCCTGAGGGCCCAGGGGAACCAGGGCCTGGACCCCCGCGGGAGACGCCACGGCTCTGGAAGGAAACCACCCGGCCCTCTGCCACCGTTTGAAGCAAACCTCAAAGTCCCCCCCCCCCCCACCCGTCCACCCAACTTTGGACATCCCCAGCACATTGAGAGTATACTCATTCAGAAGGCTGAAGACTGCTTTCGAAGGGGCTACGGCTATACCTGATGACCCACTAAATATTTATTATACTATCCTGCTTTGTACATAGATATCTATATAAACTGTGGATCGCAGCTGCAGTATTTTGAAAGTCATAGGACCAAACTGCCCAGTAATATTCTCCACTCACATTCCAGAAGAAAACAAAACCTCTGCTGTAATCCGCCTCGCATAGCAGGCCACCTTTCCATACTTTTCCAAAGGTAAACATGACACTCAAGAACAAACCCTCATTTTTGTTTGTTTTGGTTTTTTTCTTTTCTTTTTCTTCTTCTTTTAGTTGACTGAAAAGCAGACGTTTTGGGGCAGCCTGGAAATTCGCTTTGCTTTGGTTTTGCCTGGCTTTCTTTCCTGGGGTTGCACATCCTATCTGAGCCATGTTTGAAGCACGTCTCTGTTGTGTTTAATTTATTTCAATGTAGCTTATTTTCTTATAAGTTATGACATTTAAATAATCGCAGTCTTGTGAATAATAAAGAGGAGAGAGAGAGAGAAGGAAAAAAAAAAAAAAAAGACCGATCTCTGGGTCTCGTAAGTGTGTCCAGATCTGACTGTGTCGAGGGCACTCCTAGAGTATTGACCAGGCAGCTGGCCTGGGCCCAGTACTGGGATCGAAGTCCCCGGCCCAGGCCTCCACGGGCTGTCTGGTCCTGAGCCTCCCTGCGCCTTACCAGGTTTTCAGTTGGAGAGCGAGAGCTCTAGTTGGGTTGTAAATTTAAGGGAGCGCCACTTTCATCTTAGAAAGCTGGCGTCTCCCCTTTTGCGTGGTCTAATCAATACCTAAGAGGCGGGCAAACTTCGGCCGGAGGAGGAGGCGGGCTCCCGGAGGAGGGAAAGCGAGTGCAGGTATTGGTGGCTTTTCACCAGCTCCCGATGCTCTATCTACATCGACCACAGCCAGGGACGAGACGCGTTCCCTTACAAACACCCCCGATCCGAAAAGAAGCGGTGCTCGCTCCCCAGGCTGGGCCGAGCGCCCATAAATCAGGCTCGGGGCGTATCTTCGGACAGGATCTGAAACCCACCAAACCCGAGCTGGGCTTCCCCGCAGCGCTCAGCTTGGAGGCGGGCCGTGAGCGCGGGCGGGCCGGGCACCTCCCTCTGCGGGCGGGGTCGGAGGGGCGGGACCCGACCACCGCCCCACCCCGAGGGCGCTGGGGCCGCCGGCTGCACAAAGTGGGGGAGGGGAGAGGAACGCCGGCTGGTGGGCCGCGGGGGTGCCCGAGAGCCGGGCAGCTCCCCGCCCTGGCCCCGCGGCCCACAGGGAGCGAGCAGGGCGTGCCCCGACCCCTCCGTCCCACGCCCCCCACCCCGGAGCCCAGCGCGGGAGGCCCGCTCCTTTCCCGACCCCGAAGCGCCGCGCCAGGCCCCCTGGAGATTGCCGTGGGCCGGCCCGGGGCGCGCGCTCCGAGGGCGCGGAGCGGGCGAGCGCGGCGCCAGGGCCCCTGCCTCGGCCAGCGAAGCTGCAGCCCGAAGGGCGAGGAGAGGCCAGAGGCTTCCCCGACCTCGGCCTTCCCAGTGGGGAGCAGGTTCCCAAGCAGCAGAGCGCGGGACCCACCGCGGCCCTCGGCCCAAGAAGGGGGACCTCCTCGCCCATGGTCAATACTAGTATTGGCTTAATTTACACCGCCGACCACCCGTCACCGACCCGCAGGAGGCCGCGGGGACCGAGGCCTCGCCGGCACCCGAGGCACAGGGTGAGGGACGGACGCGACCAAGTCACCGTTTCCCGCTGCTGTTCCCAAGATTTCCAGGGGCGGAAAATGGCCCAGACTTGGGTTTTGAGCACAACAAAACGGCGTGGCCGGTCCTCCGAAGGCCGCAACCGGCTCTGCGGAGCACGGAGGGCTCGGGGGCTCCTTGCTGCCCCTCACCTAGGGCCTTTCCCTGCCCTGGCGCCTGGTCCGCGAGGCCCGGCCGCCCCCCACCCCCATCCCTCCATGGCCCGCCGGTGCGCGCGCCCTGACCGCCCGTTGGCGTCATCTGCTCCGGGCAGGTGTTCCCCGCTACCGCGCATTTGAGGCCCGCGGAGACGCGCCCCCCTCACCCCCCCTCGCCGGAGCCGGTCTGTCCCCGCACGGGATGGATCTGCGCCCCCCGCGGAATAGTGGCTGGCGGCGCAGAGTCCCAGCCGCACAACCTGGGGAGCGGCGGCCTCCCCGGTGGGGGCGCCTCCACTCGGCACTCTTGGCCTGGGGGAAGAACTCTGGATATGGAGAGCGGGGTACCCCCCGGCAGATTCTGGAGTGCCCCCACCTCCCATATACCTTTTCACAGTAACAGGTGTAATGCCTACCCATCTTCTCCCCCATCTTCTCCGAAAACCCATGGTAGGGATGGAGGCCACAGCGGGACCCCAGAGCCTTGGTAGCACAAACCCTGCGGGGAAGTGAAGCTCCCTAGAAACTGGGGGCCACCTTCAGGAACCCTCACCCCGGGGGGCCGGCCAAGCTCTGCGGCCCTCCCTAGCTGCACTTTGGAAGCAGGAGGCGAGGGCCAGGGGCTGCCCCAGCCATGCGGAGGTGGCACACCACCAGCCCCTCTGCCCTCTGGGGAAGCTGCCTCCCTCCTCCCCCACCCCCTGCATGCCGGGGCGACCCGAGAGCCCTGCGGAGGCTCAGGCCCGGGAGACAGGCCGAGGGGAGGAAGATAAACAAGCAGCACTTGATGGCCGCTGTCATCATGGCCGTCATCATGGCTTTCATTTGGCTGCCTAATGAGTCACATCACAGGCAGAGAGAAAAATTGTCAATCGCCCGGGCCCTAATGAATTTTTTTGCAAATTGTAATCAAGCCAGGCCGTCTCAGCTGGCTGATTAATGAGACCCACGAGGCTCGGCCAGCACCTCAGCTTTTTATTCCATCCCGTCCTCCCTGCACTAAATTAACAGCAACTTGTCTGAGCTTCAAATTAACTCCCAATGATTAATTCTGATGGGGGGGCCTGAAGAATAGCTTGTTCTAATAGGCTCTGGCCTGAGATGCTGTTGGAAATTAATACACTTCCCCTTTGGCTGCCGGCTTTAATCCAAGGTTGGGTTTTGACATCACTATATTTGTTGTTACAATAAATTCCACTTACATCTGCAGATCAAATAATTACGCTTGGGAGTGCCACGGCCCTGCGCCCTCAACCATCCCATAGAGCCCCCCGGGGCGGGGGGGGGGGGCTGTCCACACCCGGGGTCCACCAAACTGGGCAGGGGTATGTAGTGGGGGGGGGGGAGCAAAGGAACAGCCAGCCCACCCTATGCCCTAGCTCTCCAGAGAGCTGGGCGACCCCTACCCTTTGGAGAACTAAGGGTACTTTGAAAACTCAAAGCCAAATCTATACAGTCCTTGAGCAGAGCCCTCTTGAGATTGGTCTTGGGCCCCAAGCAACCTCCTCCTCTCCTCCCTGCAGGGGCTGGGGATCTCCTTGGCGCCGCCTGGGCCACCAGCACTCGGATCTTCCCCTATCCCAGTGCAGGAGGGAAGTTTTGAGATTTAGCACATGCTTCGACACCCAGCTTTCGCCTCCTCGTCTTCAGCCCCCAGGATGGCTCTGTGCAGGGAGGGCCTTTTCAGCTAAATAGGGTGCGTGGGGTGGAGTGGGGGCCCTCTGGGCCTGGTGTGCCTCCCAAGATCATCCAGAGTCTATGGCGTCTGAGCGCAGTTCGCACTAGGCCTGTTGCTGGCCCGAGCACCTGCATTCCGAGACTCCTTTTCTCTTGGGGTCAAAGCTCGCTTAGCCTTCCGTCTGTTTGTTCGAGCTTAATTGGCTTAATCACTTCGGCTGTGTCTGGCAAGCCTAGCACAGGGCCTCGGCGGCTGCTCCCTCTGCCCCGGGCCTGTCCTGTCCCGAGCGGAGTGGCTTGTCGTCCCCCCTGGCAGGGGGTTCTGGATGCTCTGGAAGCCCCGAGGACACTCTGATGGGCTTCAGGATCTGATCACCTCTTGCGCAGATCCTGGGCCTGCCCGGACCCCAGCGGCTGTCCCGCGGTAGAGTCCGCCTCCCCGCGCTCTCCTGTCGCCTGCGGAAACTTGGGGGACAGTGCAGCTGAATGGCCTGCCCACGCCGAGCCACGGCCTCCGCGGGAAGGAGGCTCGCTCGCCCGGGCCCTTGTGTCTGTCCCCGGAGCCCCCAGGCCTCGGCTCCAGCGCACGCAGTCTGAGCGGGCGGCCGGCCTGGACCCTCCGGAGTCGCGGGGCTCCCTGGAAGGCCGTGCCCGTCAGGGCCCCTTTACCCGTCAGCGCGGCGGCGCGGGCGCCCTCGGGTGGCCGGGCTCTGGGGTCTGGGGGGAAGCTGCCGTCTGGGGTGTACCGGGAGCGGCCCGGGCGAAGGGCGGAGGCATTAATCTTCATTTTGGGCCCTTATGGTGTAAACAGGAGAAATATGATCTTAGTAACCGAACATGAATGCAAATCACACCGTCAGAGTAATAAAGCACCTAAACCCCGACACACAAAAGCAACACCATATGTATGAAGACAACCTGCATAAATTATAAATTACATCATAAAAATTGATTGCCTATTTGAATGGTTCAGAAGTGAGAGACCTAAGCTGACTTCCGCCCTCGCGGCTCTGGGGGAAAGGTCAGGGAGCGCGTTCTCCCCGACCGGCCGCGGACGGGCGGCGACTGGGCCTCGCTCGAGTGTCCTGCCGGCGCTGCGGCCCAGCCTGGCGGCGCGGGGGGCGGCGGCGCCCTTTCGCGCCCCGCCAGCTCCGCGCCCCGAGGAGGGGGCAGGCCCGCAGCCGTGGGAGGCCCTGCGAGGCCTGCGCGGGTGGGGCGAGGGGCGCCACGGCCAACGCCCACGCTGGGTCCCAGGAACCCCCGCCCCCAGACCGAGAGAGGCTGCCCCCCAGTCCCAGCCCCTCCGGCCGGCGAGTGGTACTGCCGCCCTGAAGGCGCTCAGCTTTTTAGCTCGGACCCAAAGGTCCCTGGACCGCCTGCCCCTCCCCACGGGTGGGCCCCGCGGCGAGCGCGGGGGTGCTGCGTGCGCACGGGTGGGTGTGGGAGCGCGTGCAGGGTTAGCGTGTTTGCAGCTGTGCCATTTCCCCGCCACGTCTAATCTCGGCCCTGCCGAGTTTCTCGGTTCTCCCGGATCCCAGCTCCAGGGGTACCAGAGTCCCACCCACTGGAGGAACCAAAGGCGCATCCCGAGTGGCCGTTCGGAGCTGAGCGCCCACTGCGCACTCCGGGCTGCGCTTCGGGGCTTCCCGGCCTGGGGAAGCCCCTTCGAGGGGCCTGCGCCCCTGTGCCCCACCCTGTTTCTCCGCCACTGCGTGCAGGCCCAGAGTCTCGTCTCTGGCCCCCACACCCCACCCCGTGGTCCCTGTGCCCTCACTCCGCCTGGCCTCTAGATCTTCCCACATCCCCGACCTCCCGTGCACACCCCGCCGCCTGACTCTGGTCTCTGGGACGACCCCTTCCGCGGTGCACCACGAGCGCCCCCGCCCCCACCTCGGGAGGCCCTGGCACCAG